AGAGGATTACACTAATTCCTGTAGGGGAGTTTAAGCATGAATACAGTTATTCAACCTGAAAACTGAACACTATAGTTCTGTTGTAACTGTTTTAGGCAGAGTGCCACTGTCTTCGAACTATAAACTTTTAGGCGCCAAGGAGATAAAGTGGCCTTTTCTCCCCCTCTCAAAATGCAAGTAACCTAAATTGCAGATCCATAGAAAAGAATTTCAAGATCAAAGCAGACCTTAAAAGAAGTTAGATAAAACTATTATATTGCGTTTGATGAGTCAAATATTGCATTGCTTTCTGTTAAAATAGAAACTGGATGCAAAACATGAAATGTCTTCTAACTGAAAACAGGTTTAGTCATTTGTAGTGAAATATAATTCTTTCAAATTAAATTGTGAATAATTTGATTGTGTCTTGTTTGGAACAGACACTTTGTTCATTCAGGATTCAAATTCTGAACTTATTGGCTGCAAAATTTACCTGTTGAGTTCTTAATTATATACAGAACAATAAATACTAGGCCAGTAATATGATAAGGTAGCACGAAGCGCTATATCTGACCTTCCCCAAGGAAATTATTCACTACTTTTGTAATGAATTTTTGATCACTATCTGGCATGATTGCTGACGTTTAAATATGAAATATATAATTGATTCTGTACAATGGCAAGATGATCAAAGTTTACAAAATTTTCATTCTCAAATGATTATGGACGAATAACATTTACAATATGTTATTATTTCAATTGAACTCAAATAATTCATTTTAAGTTCAAAGCTCATTTAAATATTGTTACTTACTTTTAAAGTCTTGTACACCTGTTTGGTTGGTGGCACAGCTGTAGTTGGTTTATTTTTGGCAAACTTATGCATTCACTTGATGCTTTAGTGAATGCCCCTTCATGAAACCCCTAAATAAACCGCTAGCACTGCTCTTAATACAGATTTCTCACACTCTTTTTCAATAGCCTTCTGTTTCTGGACCTTTTATCTTACTAGTATTAAACTACTCGCAATTTCTTTTCTCCTGCTGTTACTATTGTTGAGTGTGCTAAACTGCATTGCTGCACTTAACAGACTTATTCTTCCTAAATGACCGGTTCCCACCTGCAAGAACTCTACACAATCACTGCCCTTCTGGATGGTCCTGTCTTTCTAAAAGAAAACTGTTGCTATATGTTGCCCTGTCTTGTAGGAAACTTTGTTGTTAGACAGCAGCCCAATGTTTTTTTAAAATCTTCTGCTGTTTGAGGTGAATAAATCAGTGCTTTAGAAGCAACATTTTTCTTTCAAAGCCATCAGTTAAGTGCTTGTAAACATATTTCCAATGTCACTTCCAGAACTCAACAATGAAACTAAACAATGTCCTCCTTAACGTGGATAATATAGAACTACAAAACAAGCATAAGGGTTTGCATGATTCTGTTCACATTAGAACCCAAACATCTAAAGAATAAGAGATAGTAGGAACTGCAGATGCTGGAGAATCCGAGACAACAAGGTGCAGGGCTGGATGAACACAGCAGGCCAAGCAGCATCATAGGAGCAGAGAGGCCGA